CAACAAGCATTGGGATCAGATAAGTCAATGTTGTAACATAACTCTTGAATCATTCACCTACAATGTAGAACTCCTTTTTCACAACAACTACTTTTCCTTTAATAACAAAATGTATTCTCAGACACATGGTTGGCCAACAGGATCCGTTTTGTCACCAATTTTGGTAGAATATGTAATTGGTAGTTCAGGTACTACCCAACAACCTGTTTTTCAAAAAAAAAATGTAGATGACACTATTGTATGTATTCGATCTAGAGGTGTAGACAGTATTGTTGAAGACTCTAATAGCTGTGACCCCTACATCCAGCTCAACAAAGTCCAACCCCAACGACCTCCAGCTTGTGTGCGGGGAGGTATCTCCTGTACACGACCGTGTGGAGTTGGCAACGGGTCCTCTGCTCGCCAGGGGAGTAAATCTTCCTTGGGGGGCAGAGGGATGACTAATCGGGCTCTGGTGAAACCCCGAATCCAAGGTGTGAGGCTCCGTGCTGAGGGATGAATGCTGCCGGGGGCAAGCGGCATTGTGAACGGACCCTCCGGAACACCGGGCCGAATTCCGAAGTACGTTTGGCCTTCTGTACGTATGGAGTTCTGCGTACGGTGACGGTTTATATCCCCAATACTTGTGGAAACAACATGGACCAACACGAAAAACTCAACCCTAACGAGAAGGGTCAAAACCTCAATCCTCCGTTGGAGGAACAACCAATGGAGATTGGCGATCTTTGGTCATCATCTCCATTACAGCAGAGAGAAGGTTTGCTTTCTGGAGCATCAGAGGATGATACTCTGACGGAGGCTCCTCAGGGCGAGCTGACCCCTGTTAATGGGAGTCGGGAAACGACTCACTCACAACGGGGAGGAGAACCGCTCTCTGAAGCGTCGGAGGATAATACTCTGGCGGATGCTCCTCCGGGCGAACCGATCCCTGTCAATAGGAGTCACCTTTGAACAGGAGAGGGAACTACTGAACTCCTCTCCGAAGCCAGAGGTGGTAGACTCTAAGGCGAAAAAGCCTTGGAAAAGATTCCGGGGTGCAAAGAGAAGGCGCCTGACAGCGCTCCTCAAACGCGGCATGCCTGACAAGGCGGCACTTGCAAAAATCCTAGGGGAATCAGCGAAGGTCGAGGAGGAAAATCCTCCATCGTCCAACGCAGCTAGCTGCAGCAGTCAGGAGCATGGAAGGCGTGAAGCCGCCCCATTTGCTGGCTGCAGCAGGCGGCCCCGTTCGGAAAGTAGCTCTCCCGAACAGGCACCGAAAAAGCCAAGAAGTGGTGGGCAGGCTTCGACACATGGAGTGATTGCGGGAAGCTGTAGTGGCGTTAATTCACCCAGAGCATCCCTTGGTTGTCTACACCAAGCAGCAATTATTCGCTCTTCAAAACGCGATATTGGTAGCTCTAATGCGAGACAGGAATACACAGGTGAGGTTCCAGGACTGCACCAATAGGCCTGGATGGCTACAAATCACCTGTGTGGACAACGAAAGCCTGAACAGGTTTGAAGATGCGGCGAAGCACCTCCAGCTTTGGAAAGGCGCCAAGGTCAAGTAGCATATCTTCCGGACGAAGTTCCAGAGAAGCGACTCTCCTGGGAGAATGAGCTGCATATTCTGGGGAATATGAACCGGACACTGGATACTCATGATTTGGTTGTCCTACATCGGGAGGATTCAGGCAAGGGACATACTTGGACCTTCGGTATAGGTGATGCGTCGCTGGAGGCGCGCAGGCGTCTGGACTTCAGACCGTACTTTGGCTTCAGCCGGGTACCATTTCGTCTGAGGCCCAGGGCTCAGGGAACATTATCCGGGACACGGAAGACTAATTCCCCCATAGCCCCCGCCGCCAGTGATGCGTCGACGGTGCCAGCAGGAGGGACAGCCACCCCTGTTGGAACTGGTAGCGATTCTACCAAAGGAAAGACTATTCCCGATAATACGCTGCCAAAAAAGGCAAAAAGAAACCCAAGAAGGGGAAGGGAGGTCCTGGGGCACACAAAGCTCCAAAGGCCAACCTTAACTGCCACGGGGTCCTGGTGGGGACAGAGATCCACCAAAAGGTTGCAGCATAATGGCTCAATCACTGAGCCTGCTCCAGATTAATCTGCAACGGACGGAATGGATATCGCCCTTATCCAGGAACCATGGAACATAAGACGAGTATCCCGACTTGAAGGAATATCTGGTAAGGTAATTGCATTACCATCGATACCCAATCTGAGGGCATGCATCCCTGTCAGGAAAACTCTAAAATACTTTGTTCTTACAGATTTCTGCGATAGGGAAATGGTGTTTATCCACCTGCCCCTACCAGGGGAACTAGAGGTTGTAATTTCCTCTGCCTATTTTTCTGGAGATGCAGAAGAATCTCCTCCCCAACTGGTGCGGAACCTAATCGACCACTGCAGGATGAAGAACGCGCATCACATGGCCGGAGTGAGTCTCTGTTTAACTATTTAATTGGGGAGGGACTACTGGTTAACAGTAAAGGCGCTGAGCCTTCCTTTAGTACGAGAAGTAGGAAAGAGGTACTTGACTTGACAATTAGTACTAATTATTTAAGCAGCAAGATGAAAGATTGGCGGGTAACGTCGGACCTTCGTGTTCTGATCACCGACGTATTCACTTTGAGATTGCAACGGGTGTAAGACCCATGTTATACTACAGGAATGTGAGGAATACGGACTGTGATGGATATAAAACTACCATAGTAAGATCATAACAAAACTTCATGACGGATCGGGTAACGCAGTCCATAAGTTCAGCCTATCAGGAAAACTGTCTACTCAAGGCGAGAAAAGATAACAGGAGTACGCCTTGGTACAATAACAGTCTTAATAAGAAAAGGATAGAGGTTCGAAAACTCTTCAACCGGGCCAAACTATCTGGTGAGTCGGACCAGTATGGGAGGGCCTTAACCGACTATAATAAAGCGGTCCGCAAAGCCAGAACTGAGTCATGGAAGCGGTTCTGCGAGAGCATGTCAGATGCACCGAGCAGTGCTAGGGTCTACAAGATCCTTTCCAAGGATTGTGGACAGGAGCTGGGGTCGATCAAGCGACCAGACACATTGTCCAGGGGGCAAACCTTGGAGATCCTTGCGCAAAACCACTTTCCAGGATGACTTAGCTGGCCAATTACCGGAGAATCGGCCGGACAAATGCCCCCACAGGGGAGACTGGCAGGTTGTTAGAACCATAGTAAGCCCTGATGCGGTTACAGGAGCGACAAAATCATTTAAACCCTTCAAATCGCCAGGAGAGGATGGCATTTATCCAGCTCTAATACAAGTTGGACTGGATATATTGATGCTATTTCTCATAGCACTCTACATAGCCAGCCTAGCGTGGAATCACATACCACATGGCTGGAAGGTGGCAAGGGTACCCAAACCTGGACAGACAGATCCAGTAGCGAAGTAACTCAGACCATTAGTCTGACCTCGTTTCTGCTGAAAGGCCTTGAAAAGGAAATTGATAGTACATAAGAGGGGGTGGGGTGGCTCGGGAGAGGCATCCTCTCAGCGTGCATCAATATGCCTATCAGGCTGGTAAATCAGCAGACCTTGCTCTCAACAACTTGGATGCCACCATCAAAACGTCCTTGGAAAACAAGGAAATTGCCGTAGCGGCCTTTTTGGACATAGAGAGAGGATTTAACAATGCCTTACCAGAATCCCTCTATGAACCAATCGCCTCCAAGGGTGTGAATTCTCTGATCTGCGGCTGGATCAGAAGCGTGTTGACATGCAGAATCATATCGACATCCTTACAGGGGTAGACATTCAGATTTAGAGCTGCCAGGGGGTGTCAACAGGGAGGGGTATTATCTCCTCTTTTGTGGTCGCTCCTGGTAGATAATCTGATTCACGGCTATAGCTTTGATAAGGGGGGGTCCCCAAAGTAAAAAAAACAGAGCTCTAACGCCAACTGGATCTATTACTTACAGATTAAACATTGCGATTAAAACACGCAAGTATAGTCGCGGGTAATCTATAATATATAACTTAGGTTACTTAGGTAGGTGCCTTTAAATAAAAAGTTTAATGTATGTATTGCAATACTATAATTTAGATGTTTTTCAAAAAAGTATTCTAAAAATGATATTTAAAAAACCGAAACTTTATCCCACTGAAATGTATGATATAAGACAGCTTTATTTCTTACACAGTATCACTCACTACCATAAATTTGTAAACACCGACCAAAAAATTAAACATAATCATTATACCAGGTACAAAATTCGTGGCACAGTAGTTCCTCAACCGCATAAATCTATAATGCAGCGATCATATCTCTATTTAGCGCCTAAATTTTATGAAATTATACCTAAAGACTTAAAAGATTTACGTTTCGGAAATTGTTTCAAAAGAAATTTAAAAAAGTGGCTACATTCTATATCTAGGACTGAAATTCATAAACTCATAAATACGAACATCAACTAAATGCATAATCTACTGTAGCTAATTTTTGTCCTTTTTGTCATTTGCATTCTACAGTTTCAACTTAAATTATTGGTCCATGTACAGGCGATGCCTTCTATTGGGCCTGTTTTGATTTTATATTTATTTACTCATATTGTTTGTTATCTTTGTACATTGAGTAAATAAATATTATTATTATTATTATTATTATTACTTATTCAAAAGTAACAAAGTTGAAACTTTAAAGTAATAAATTTAGTCTTTTACGTTTTATTGCTAACTGATTAATAATTTCCTCGGAATCTAGTTGCACCACCAGATCTCGGTGTACGCTCATTAAAGCCAGACCAGTAAGTCTTTCATCGCCCATTTTATTTCTTAGGTAAGTTTTTAACCTCTTTAAGATAGAGAAAGATCTTTCAGGGGTTGCAGTGGACACTGGGAGTGTGGCTAAGATATTTAGAAGCTTTTTTATTGAAGGGAAAAACTGATCATCGCAGTTATCGATAGCGTCGAGCACAGTTGCAGGTTTTTGTGCTACAGATTTCCAGTGATTGTGCCATATCTCATATTCACTCAGAAATATTGTGCCTTCATTTTCTCCACCCAGAAATGTTTGTGCAATCTTTTCAATATTTTCTTTATCCTGGAGTCATTACTGGTTTTTTCAGGTAACAGCATTTGAATTCCTTCGATCGTCGATTCATGTGATTCAAAACGAACGTCGAGTTCTGTAATAACATGATCAATGAAAGGGTAAAACACATTTCGTCGGTAGTATATTTTGGCAGTTTCTGCTGCAATATTATTGCGCAGGGTTTGCCTTCCAGTTATTCTTGGCACAACTATATCGCCTGAACTCATCTGCTGTGTTTGCTCAAAAAGGATTGCAAACTGACTTTCGTCCCGAACATTTAGTAAAGTCGTTTTTACAGTTTTTGTATATTCGCAAATGTTGAAATGAGATGAATTAATTTGATCCGCAATTTTCTTCAAAAGTCCGTCGCGAAAAAAGTTTATTACGCGCTTAATGGTTCCGACACAGTTACGTATCATTGGTATCTCACATGAATGTGCTAAAACTATGTTGAGAACATGAGCAACACAGTGTACGAATTGCGCTCTCGGGTATTGCTCTGAGATTATTGTTCTTACGCCCCGTAACCGGCCGCTCATCACTGCAGCGCCATCATAGCCTTGACCAATCCATTTATCCATATCCAAATTATATGATAAAAGATGTGATATAATAATCGTTGCCAAAGCTTGAGCTGAAACATCTTCTACGTGAATGAATGCTAAAAAATCTTCCCGTATAACCGAGTTCCCAGATGAGCAGTGTACATATCGTAAACATAACGCTAATTGTTCTCGCCGTGAAATGTCTTGTGTTTCATCAGCAAGTATAGTAAAAAAAACATCCTCTTTGACCCTATTAAGTACTTGCGTTTGAATAGCACTACCACATAGTTCAATCACCTCATTTTGAATTACTGATGACGTATACATGGCTCTACTGTGAATGTTTTGTGTTAGTAAATGATTCTTAAGTGCTTCATCGCCAGATCGCGCACGAAAACGAAGAAGTGCTCTAAAATTACCATCATTATGTTCAGGCTCATTTATCCCAATTTCTCCAGAATCACGACTTCCTCTTAGTGCTATTTCTTGCCTTCCGCAAAGAATAATTGTTTCAACAATGGCTTTTAATCTTTTTCTGTTCTCTTCGGCAATTTTATTGTTTTCTGCATTCATGCATTCTGTAACATCAAGCTTTTTTCCTTTCATGATCCTTGCAAAATTTGCTGCCTGCTCAACAGCAAATTTGTGATACTTCGTATCTGCATGGTGATCAAATCTCTCTAAAGCTTTCTTCCAGTTAATAAATGGCTTACTAACAAAGGCTCCAAGTTCTTGATGACCACGACCGCCTTGTGTTTTTCCAAGTAGAACACATACTTTGCAAAGTGCTCCCTGCATGAGGTTTGAATATACAAGCCATGAGTACCTGGTAGTCCAATGGCGTTGAAAAGAAAGTTTCTTTTTACCAGTATCAGTGACTGGAAATTTAAATGTATCCGGAGGGATCCAAGGCTCTTTTAATGCTCTCAGCTTTTCCTCGTCATTGCATGGAGGATGACATACGTATTTCCCAATATAATAACCCGTCCTGGCTGCGGCTGCAGACGTAGCCGACCACAAATCCATCCTGGCTGTAACAAAGAAATATTTGACAAAAACTAAAAAGTTATGTTGGGAATAAGAATTTTCAACTAAAAATTAAGTCTACGCGAACACAGTCGCGGGCGCCACTTAGTTGTTAAATATAATTCTATTTCTTTGAAAAGGCGAAATGATTTTATGACACTTAGGTACATTCAGCATATACACTGAAATTACCATTTTTGTCAAATATTTTATGCTCACGGCAACACAATTGTTTACAAAAATTCTCTGGGAATAAAAATAAGAGCAGGATAAAAGTTTTTAGAGCGTCTATTAAATTCATATAACTGGGTTCCTTCCTAATAAAATAAATGAGAGACTTACCTTTCTTCACTTCATCGTCATCAGTATCTGTTGATGGCCCCGCTCTATTTATTCCTACTTCTTCAATTGGCAAAAGTTTATTGGGCTTTGGACTCTCTTTCTTAAAAAAAAAACCCAAAAGAGATACCTGATTTGTTCGTTTCATAGCGACACTTCTTTCTATATTGTATTTATAACAACTGCGCAACGCGTCAACGCGAAGAGACAAAATAGACTAGACCACTAGTAGACTACCTTGGTTTGGTGCGCGCCGCCGAAGCGCGGGCGAAGGTGGCGGGGGCAGTGCCCATTCCCCCTCACCCCGCACTACGCGGGCGTACGCATCGCGTTTTCCGATACTCGCCCTACGGACACGGTCCACAGCAATTATCGTTTTCTACAATCGGCGCGGTGCATGTAACTTTTTTCTGTTGGACAAGTTAGATGGATATGAATGGGGGGGGGGTCCGGACCCCCAACCCCCCCCCCTTATATACGTCCGTGATCTGATTGCCATTATTCGCCTGTAGGAGGCCGAAGATCAAACCTATGCAGACGATCTAGTCATTTTAGTCAGAGGGAAATCTGGGGAACATATCTCGGGAACACTCCAGGAGGTGTTAACCGCAATAGCGAATGGGTGCGAAGGGGAAGGAATGTCAATCAACCCGCAAAAAATCTTCATCGTACCTTTCACCAGAAAAAGAAAACTGGATGGGATTAAACCTCCAACAATCCAAGGTGAAAATGTACTATTTGCAAAGGAGGCGAAATATCTAGAAATAATCTTAGATAGAACACTAAACTGGAATTTGCTCCTGGAAGCAGTCGTTAAGATGCAACGATCTCGAAGCCTGAGCAGATGTTTTGGCTTTATACCATGGTTATTAGACTTAGGATAACCTATGAATCTGTAGCTTGGTGGCGCAAGGCAGCACAAAGAACTGTCCAAGCTTGTACGTTGATCACTGGTGTATTTCGTACCACACCAACTGTAGCTATGGAGGTCCTTCTTAATTTACCCCCCTTGCCCATATACCTGGACGGCGGGACAACAAGGACATCTTATAGAGTAACTACATCATGTGGCAAATCGTATAATGGACAATATCACTATGTAAGAGACGGACATGCTGGTGGACTTACAAGACCACCACAGTCCGGAAATTCCTTCTACTGAGTGACAATTCCACACAGGAATGAGTGAGAACAGCAAGTTAACCTCATAAGGAAATATATCTGTGCATACACAAATGGCTCCAAGATCGAGGTAGGTGTTGGAGCTGGTATCTTCGTGCCGAAGCTAAAGATTAAAAAATCTGTTAGACTAGGAACCTGGGCATCGATCTTCCAGGCAGAGCTATATGCTAATGAACTAGGCGCCAGAATGATCGCAGAACGACAACTGAGGCACAGAACTATAATTATTTTTTCAGATAGTCAAGCCGCACTTAAAGCTCTTGTCTCCACCTACTCGGCATCGAAATTAGTGTGGAATTGAAAAAGAAGCTCTCCGTGGCGTAGGGGAGGGAAATGAAGTCCGTTTCATATGGATACCAAGACACACATGTCTAGAGGAAAACGAAACAGTTGACACTCTGGCAAAGAGTGGCGCCAGCACACCCTTCATAGAGCCTGAGCCAGCGATTGGGATCGCATACATTACGGCTAAACAAATGATATCTGCAGAGATGGACAGAAATATCCATCAATACTGGAAGGGATTAACAGGATTGCGCCATGCTACGGCTGAACAGGAATAGCCTCAAAGCTCTAGTAGGACTGTACCCTGGTCATTGCAAATTGCGCCACCACACACTAATAACAATCAGAACAGTATAAATCAGCTTCAAGCGTAATAGAGAAAAAGAACTATAACAACAACATAGACAAACAACTATCATTACTCAAGACCTAATCTACAAAATCTGCTCGAAAACACAGCCGTAGTCTTTGGATAAATGACCGTTGCACATCCCCCAGCAAGTGTTCCCTTATGTTCAGAAAAGCATCCTTAATCCTTTACTTCATATTTTCCAGGGTAGATGGTGCATATCTATAAACCTCTTGCTTAACGTAGCCCCATAGAAAGAAGTCCATCGGTGTCATATCTGGTGATCAAGGAGGCCAAGATACAGGCCCATTACGACCGATCCAACGATTGTTACTCCACGTGTCCAAATAGTTACGCACACGATTATGATAATGCGCAGGTGCGCCGTCATGTTGGAAGTACATATGCATCCGAGTTTGCAGGTTGACACCCTCCAAAAGCAAACGCAAATGCTCGATCAAAGACATAAAATATTCTGTGCCTGTTAATCTGTTGTCGAAAAAGAAAGGCCCGATAACTTGTCTGCCAATATCTCCTCCCCAAACATTCAAGCTCCCTTCATTTATTTTGGAAATCTATTTAGTCCAGTTAAATAGCCGAAACTGAGACAAAAGTGATAACATAGCCACAAAGTTATTTCCGCTGGCGTAATGGTGTAATAAAGGATTGCGAATATTGGTGTGTGAATTTGGTTTTCCGGAAACCAGCCGTTTTTTGTAAAACAGCGAAAAAACCCGAAAAACTTCTTTTTCGCTGAAACGGCTGAGGATATCTGGGATTTTTTTACACCAAAATTTTTCTAATTTTTGGGCCATCAATAAAGGTCTCTACAAATTTTTCGCTAAATTGCTTAGTTTTCGCGCTACAGCTTGCTGATGGCTTATGGGCGAGGGGGTTTGCGGGGAGAGGGACGCGCGTACACCTGTCGCCAGACGCCGCACCATTGAAGCGGAACGATCCTCTTTTATTTCGACGTCCTCAGTGTCTCTCTCTCAGTGATAGGCCAGTCGTTTTCGAATAATAAGCTCGTTTGTAGTTGTGGCGTTCACCGACTTATGCATATTAATGAATTTTTGCAATTTCTGCATTTAGAGTACAAGATGCAGTAATTTTTCTTCAGCCGCTTACCGATTGACTGGATAAGTGAGGTATAATATTTTCATTTAGAATTGGAACAACAATAAAAAACCTACAGCTGCAAAAAAGGTGTGAACGTGTATATGTATAAATGAGTGGCAATGATAAGAATACATTACAGGATGTAGAAGCCCAATGAGTCATCAAAAGACTCGCTTTCGAGGCTCCACGTTATTTTCATAGTTATCCTCGCAAATCAGTTTGATCACCGGTAGTTGTTAATCTACGATCATGATAAGAGATTTAGCAGTTTTTGAGCCGCGTCTATACGTTGGTCTGACCTACGCCAACGCAAATATGTAAAGAATAGACAATGGCCGATGGTGATGAGTATTTGACGATATCTTCTCTGCACACTCGCTGTGGAAAAAGATTACTCCATTATATTTTAATCGAGATAAGAAATTATGTACAAACTATTAATTGGAAGTTGCATCAATTTTTTATATTTTCTCTATTTTGATAGAGTATAACAAATTATTTTTGTGTTCAAATATGTTTGTTTTACATTTGTTACTTTACATTTCACACATATAGTTGTACAAAAACCCTCACTTGAGCCAATGAAACGTGTAAGAGGAATTGAAAGTATATACAGTTCAATGTTATATCCACCCCAATCTGTTACAAGTAGGATAAATCATTGAAGGTCATAGTCATTAAAGTCCTTCGTTAATTTCCTCGTCATCGGTCGTTGCATCGTGGCTGCTTGATGAGGTCTCATCATCTTCTGTTAAGTCATCATTATCGGGTTCTACGGTAGTTTGTCCACCGTCCTCCTCACATGCATCTGTAGTAGTCGGAGTTTCGCTATCATGGTGTTCTGTAGCAGTCCATCTCTTTGAGTTGTTGCACGATTTTCCGCGGCATACTTTGCAAGCAGGGTTGCACTTTAGACCGGCTTTTCGGCAGTTACATCGCTTCGATTTGCAGCGCCCTTGGCATCCACAGGAAACCTGAAAAAAGGTTATCATAAGAATTATTATAATCTAAATATCAGTTGTCGTGTACGGGAAATCAATGACAGGCCTTTTATAGTGCTCCATAGATCAGTCTAAAAAGTTGTTATTTTGACTTGAAACTGGATCTCACATTGTTCAAAAATTATTTTAATTCCGGTCAGACAGTACATGAGATCAAAAGTGTAGTAAAAATTAGTTGTAGCAAGTTGTATTTATTGCTTCAAATTGAATACATTTCACACATACCTCTTGTAACAGTTCTTTTGGTGCGGGATCTAGTTCAGACATGATCGGAATGAGAATATTACCCTGTCTTGTCCATCCCCACAAGCAGGGATCTAATCTATGCTGAAGCCACACCTGGATTTGATAGTACACTCGTTTACAGTGCTGAAGCAAGGCAGGAGATATTGGTGGGAGACATTCTAGGGGCGTTTCCTTTTTTGCCTTTGCTAAGTTTGTAGAACACAAATTGTATCTGAAAGTCCGAGAGTAATCGTCTCTGCACATTGCAGCAATTCGTCTTCCAAGCAGTCCGGCTCGTAAAACTTCAGCGCCAGCGCTCTAATGCTGTCGTTCTGCTGCAGCAACTTCACCAGCTTCATCTTCCCTTTTCCAAAAAAGCAGCTAGTAGTGTCGCAGCCCGCAATGGCATGAGCAAAAAGTAGAAATGGTTGCAAATGTTTGTGATCCCGAGTATCGTACAATTGGTTCGCCTTGCCCCCCTGGCCCATCTTGTAATAGTACATGCTCTCTGAGGTTGGAGTTACAATAAGTAATATTAAGAGATCAACATTCGAGCCGACGACTATAACTCGTGATTTCCCGTGACGAAACAATTCGTTATGAGTCTTCAGAGCTGTTCTCACAATCTCAACATCCGCATCCTCTTTCGCATGGATCACGGTAAAACTGAATCCCTCATATGTTGCAAGAGTTTGACCAAGGTGATAAACAAATTGAGCCTTGTTTTTCACGTTGGACAAAAATGTCCTTTGGTTCAATGGGACGAGATTGTCTGGTTCAATTTCAACGTCCACGCCACAATTTCTTTCTTGTCTACGGTCTCGCTCGTATGATTTGACACCTATATGTTCATCTTCATATCCGTCGAAAACAATAATGACGCTCCGACCAAACCGCTGAACAAGAAAGTTCTTGTACATATCAAAGATTGCACGGTATGTCTTACTATGAGGCCAGACGAGGTTGTGAAGCAACCATCCTCCGTCTACAACAAACTGAGAATCTTCAAAAAATGCTCGTGAGGATAGGATAGTAGTGAACATTTTATGTAACTGTGACTTGTCGGTCTTTCGCATTGATCCTTTCTCGTCGAACAAACTAAGTGGAACAGGAGACATTTCGTAGTCGAAGCAAGATTTACTCAACTCTTTCCTACAGACAGACGTTGAAATAATAGAGAGGTATCAACAGTGACAGTGGAAGACATAGCTTTTTGAGATTGTGTCCGTGCAAAGTCCAAATTCATGATCTTGTACAATTTTGACAGCGACACCTTTTCATAAGTGCGTCCAACTATATGACCCATTGCTTGTGTGCCACGCTCGAAAGCCATATGACAATTTATTTCCACACCACCAACAACTCCAATTGACAGCGAAATTAATTCCTCGCGGACTTTGAATGGTTCATGCCCCTTCAACCAAGTAACGAATGAGGCAATGTCCTTTGCGTCCCATGCTTTTCGTCCTTTGCCCAAATCAACATGCTGCTCACTGTTTCTCGTCTCCAGGTTACAATACTCTTCCAATGCTTGCATCACATGCACGGCGCAAGGCATCCCCAGCAAATATCGAGACACGACACTCCGCGTAACACCTCTTCCGTGTTTCAAGTCAGTCCCAAAAAACCTATTCAATGTCTGCTCGATTGTCATGTCACTCCAGATTCCGGACCAAGCCTTATCCGACCTGTAGATAGTGAAATAACCCTGCGTGGCAAACTGGTGAAACTCTTGAGGATCCATGATGTCCTGTAGAAGTACCATATCCTGCAAATAAATCTGAGCTGCTTTTGCATATTGAAAATGTCCCGCGGCATGAAACAATGGCAACATTCTTCGAACGCAATCAAGATGAAGGTCCCAGTTTCCAAGACGTTCTGCTTCAATAAAACGCAAGACAATAAGCACGGCTTCAATGTACTGCACCCACAACTTGGCTGTTGGGCCGTTATTTTTCAATTGCTTCAACTTTGTATAAAACAAATCCGACATTTTCTTCAGGTCCTTATCAGAGTCACTGTCCCCTAGCTTGAGAGGATTTTTCTGCCAGAGACGCATCAATGATGCGATAACCCCTTTGATCTCGCCTTTTTCTTCGATTGAATCACAAATTACGATGCCTAAAGCTGTAAACGTCAAAATGTGTGCTCGGACTGCTCTTGAATAATTGTGCCCGTCCATCATTTTCTTTATGGATTCACTAGCGTAAGCAAGCTCCCACATAGATTCAAGTCCGCTTCCTCCCATGATAATACCTATTGCTCCCAAAAAAGACATTAACATGTGGAATCCGCCTAAGCGTACAAAAACGTCGGGCAACATTAACTTCGCTATAATATCGCGACATTTTATGTACAATGGCAAGTCGTAAGTTAAGATAGTGGTTTTTTGACCACATTTACGGGTTTCGCTCTTTGCATGCATAATTGATGTATAAATGGTTGTTAGACTAGATGGAACTTCGTTAATGAATTGTTGGCATTGCACCCCCGACCTTTGGAAACTTTCATTTTCCGAACATACATATCTCCATGAAACCTCGCCATGCTGGTACATTCTCAGGATCAACGTATTTAGCCCACAAATAAGTTCAGTAAGTATGGGGGAATAGAGGCATGTCGACCATGGTCAGTAAATTTGTATCGATGAATTCTATAAGTTTCAAGCCCTCTTTTGGCGGCTCGACGTAAGGGAAGATTGGAATTTGTTCTTGCTTTGCAAGGATATTTGCGGAAGGCATCTCAGTAAGTTTTTCGACACTTCCACATTGTGTGATTTCGTGCTCCGGAGTGTAAACCTGTATTCCGCCTAAACAATGGAAAGTCTCCCGTCCGTCCAGGGTCCTGACGTTGTGGTCAGTATTATCAAATACAAATTGTACGAAAGGTTTTTCGATGATCAATCTGGGTGGATTCACTATTGTTGAAGCCTCATACAATTCAATATTGTAGTAAGAAGTGCAAACGCCTAATGCATGCAGAAGATTTATGATGTACTTGGAACCTGTTTTTCTCAGAATCAATGTCCCAATCGACAAGTGGAGGGTGGACAAAAACGTACGTGGCTGAATGAATGAAAGTATGCATTGAGATATCATGTCTCGCTTCACAGACTTTGCTTTTTTATCTTTCTCTTCGTCAGCGATAAGGAGAAAGTGCTCAATAAAGAACGAAAAGTGGGGTGGATAATCGGAGGAAAGATCGCTTACAAATTGATTGGACGGTGGGTACTTATCGCTTACAAATTGCTTGCTACGAATCTCTCTGTGCATTATATTTGAGGCCTGAAGCAAAATAACTTGTATCTGCCCTTCTGTGAAAGTTGATGGGTCTGCTGACACATTAAAAGCATGATGACTTTTGAAGCATACACCTATATCTTTTCCCCCCATTATACTGCACGCAACTTCCTCACCGTAACGTTTTTTAATGTGATCTGCTACAGTCCTTCTATCTATAGAGTCATCATCCACAACAATCTACTAACTTCGACAAATAATGAATAACATTTTTGTCTTCTTCAAGAACTTGCCACACAGATTCTAACAATGAATCGATTCTAGACCAGTTTAGATCATCGATATTTTTTTTAAACCATACGCATTGAAATGAGACATGCATGTCCGGTGGTATCTGCCTTGTACGCGAATTAAGCAAGAAATGTTCTCTAATCTTTCAACAACGCTAATTCCCAAAGAGTCATTTCTTTCCTTTCCCATTGCAATCAAGTTATCACGCGTCTCTTTTTGTGTGACTGTACAGATTTTTGTTTTGGCATCTTTTATTATACTCAAACCACAAATGAAGCAATTATCCGCTTAATGGAAATCAGGAACCTTGCAGCTACGACATTGTTATTTGGTGCATTCAAAATGCTGAGTATACGTTCCACTGACCGAGTATGAAAGTCTACTCTTCTCATGGCAGTCCAGTTTTTCCTTTTTTTCCCAATCCAACCACTTTTGTCTTCCACGCGTTTGCTCTGTGTGATCAGTGTACTAATTCCCTTCTTCCCCACGATCCTGCAATTGCCGCGCGCCAACGGATAACTGCAAATGGCGCAGTTACTATTTTGCTGCATTTTAGTCCTATTGAATAACAGAAACAATTTCAGTGAGAATCGGTATCCAGTAAGTGTAATGCAATTTTCGATCCAGTCAGTCTAATTTGTCTGATTTTTGTTATTAATATCAGAACATAGTGCTAATGGAATTCCAAGACATGCTGAATTTTGGACAACATATACTTATTATTAAAAAATACTATACTAACATTGGAAAATGAAAACAAATTTCGTTAAAAAATCCATGGCGGATAACTTTTCGAATTTTAGGTTGGCTTTGTCCTTAATTCCTTGTCTCCAATGAAATTACGGAAAAAAAGTATTTAATTTCAATTCTAAAATGTACACATACTTACCTCACTTATCCAGTCAATCGACAAGCAATTGAAGGGAAATTACTCCACATACTTAAACGCATAAACTTAGAAAATTAGTTCTTTCGTAAAAGTCGGTGAACGCCAAACTGACAAGGGAGCTCAGGGTTCGAAATTCAACTCTACTATTACTGAATAACCCCTACCATATAGTAAGTGATCGTCTGCGTCGTCAACGCGTAGGCGGTGTGGCGGCAGCTTGGTGGTATGCAGGTACGCCGCCTCTGTCCCCGCAAACCCCCTCGCCCATAAGCCATCAGCAAGCTGTAGCGCGAAAACTAAGCAATTTAGCGAAAAATTTGTAGAGACCTTTATTGATGGCCCAAAAATTAGAAAAATTTACGTGTAAAAAAATCCCAGATATCCTCAGCCGTTTCAGCGAAAAAGAGGTTTTTCGGGTTTTTCGCTGTTTTACAAAAAACGGCTGGTTTCCGGAAAACCAAATTCATACAACAATATTCGCAATCCTTTATTACACCATTACGCCAGCGGAAATAACTTTGTGGCTATGTTATCACTTTTGTCTCAGTTTCGGCTATTTAACTGGCCTAATTCGCCTAACCCAGTAAGGGATTTCCGTCGCATAATAGTGCATGTTATGCTTGTTGACAGAACCTATGCTGTTAAAAGTTGCCTAATCGCTAAAAAGAACCTTATCCAGGAAAGTAGTGTCTTCACTCACTTTATTTAGCATTATTCTACTAAACTCCATTCGAGCTGCAAAATCCTGAGGACGAAGGCCTTGATGTAAGCATAGGTGATATGGATGGTACCTATGCTTGTGAATAATCGTTTGGACAGAAACTCTGCAAATATCAGTTTCTGCTCCAACTTGCCGTGCCTTAAATGGACATTTTCCTGCAACTTTAATTGAACCTCCAACTTATTTGCCTCATTGGTGACACTTAGATTATTTA